AGATATTTGTACACACACACACACACACACACACACCAATTGATCTCTTGCCAAGCCACTAAGCAGTTTGGAAGGAAGGGGAAGAGGGTGATTTCAGAATCCAAATGTGAGCCTCGGGCTCTACAAGTCTAGGGACTGGGATTTAATCATCCATTAACCCAGGCACACCCCTCAAGATCTGGGACCTCCACCCCTCAGCACTGCGGTAGGCTTCCTGTATCTGTCACTGAAAATCTTATGCCATATTTTCTAGAATTCCTCCAAGACATCTGGGGAGCTGTTCCCAGCTACGCTGATGTGAGACATTAAAATCGTGGGTCTCTCTTACTGCTGCTCCTTTCTCTTAGATACTTCAAGGGAGCGGAGATACACTCGCCTTTGACTTTAAGTCACTGGCCTGGAATTCAGAAGGTAAAAATCTGGTCCCAGTTAGGGTACTAACTCACCAGCAACAGGCCCCCCTCATGAGGCTGCCTGTTTTCTCAACTGTAAAGGTTTATGTCCTAGAGCCTCCAAGCGTCCCTCCACTACCCACTTCACCCAGGGAGACACCACAGTGACAGAAAGATAGTGTGTTCAAAACGGGTTATCTTACTAAGGTTCTCTTAGGGAGGCACATGCCGCTCGCTGAGCGACCGTGGACAGGGCAAGCATCTAGAGGCTTCCGAATTTTCATCCACCTTACCAAAATTTTGGGGGTCAGATGTCATCCTCATTGGATGTTGCCCTCCTCTGTCAGTCCTAGCACCTAGTAGGGATACTTGGAGATCCGAAGGTGACAGGGTCGGTCCACCGCCCCAGGCGCGGGGGGGGGGAACTCTGCTAGGATCTACCACTAGGTGGCAGACTCAGTCCGTTCGAAAATCACCGCGCAGCCACAGCCTTCCACAACCGACTGCCCCCCACTTTTTTTTTTTTTTTGGATCTGTTAGCGGGAGGAGGTTGGCCTCTATAAGCAACGCTGCAAAACATTTAATTTACTGGATGTAATTCCGTTCTTCCCGATGCTCACTCCTCTAGTAACCACAACGCGGTCTCTGGAGCAGGGTTCATGTATTATACGTTGATTTTTCCAGCCCGAAAGGCTGAATGTATTAGAAGGGAAGGAAAGGGTGCGCTTGTCTTCAAAAAGCAGAAGGTATTAGCAGAGCTTCTTGCCAAACACTGGTCGACCAGCAAAGAAAGTCGGGAATAAACTCTTGATCCCCACGGAGGAAGGGGGCCCTGGAGGCCAAGGGCAGGGTTCCGCCCAGGTTTACAGGGCTCGCTAAAGGCGGAGGGTGGGGAAAGGGGGGCTGAGTTTTGTCTTTTGGCGGGGCTGCTGGTCACAGACTGGGAGGCGGGGAGAACTGGGAAGAGCCATTCCTGGCTTCCAGTGGGGCGAAGAGAAAGGGGCCGGCTTCGCCACTACACAGCACCCTTGCTCGGATCACTGCGGCGGCATTCCCACTTGTTGCGCAGTGCAGGAAGCCGGCACGCGCCACACTACTTCGACTCCCAGAAGGCTCCAAACCCAGCTACGGACCAGCCTACCATTGCCCCACGCCACAAACCTCCGTCCCCAACCCAGCCCCCAGTAGACACCACCATCACCGACAGCAAAACTACAGGACTTCCCATCACTGGTTTGTTTTTACACCGAGACATTCCTGCTTATCTCAGTGTCAGACTAGCAACAGAATTCAGGTGCTCTGAGAAGTCAAGTCCAAGGGGGAAGGAGGCTACCTCCGTCTGGAGAACTCACCTACTTCAAGCCAACTAGGCAACCCTCCCCGACCGCGCACGCGCGCACACACACACACACACACACACACACACACACACACACACACTCGAACTTCTTTGCCTCTTATGACACTCTCCTAGCTGGAAAGCAACGCTTTTCCACCCCATTTGAGAAATCAACTACAACCTCCTTTTTTTAAAGTTAGTTTTATCTCCCCTTTCTAAAGAAAAAAAAAAATCCTCATAAGGTCATTTCACAATGTTTTTCAAATATTTGACTTTTGCAAATAGAGTTTCACCCACCAAGGGGTGGCGCTGCCGCACTACCTCCTTCAAGTTTTTCACAATAAAGTGGGTTGTGAGTGTGGCTACCGGGCAGGGGAGAGAGGGAAGGAAGGATTTTGACATCTAGTCCTGGCTACCATTTACTCAACCAATAACTGGAACTCTTCAAGGCTCAGCAAACGACAGCTTAAGAGTTTAGAGTCCCATCCCTGTCCAGCAAACCCAGAATAAATTGGAGAGTCTTTTCAAGAAAGCATGGGGTAAAACCCTTCACAATTGAGCACAGAAGAAAAGGCCAACTGGAGAATTCCCTGTTCTGGCTTCCTTCTCCTTCAAGCTGCCCAGTTTACCAACAGCTTCTGGCCTTATTGTCACTATCAACAGACCCTTAAAAATCAGCCAGTGCT